ACGGAGAGGCTTCAGGTGCAAGGCCTGGGTTTCAGTCAGCTGGGCCTCTGGAATTGCTCATTGCTGGGCCTGACACACAGGCAGCCATAAGATAGTCACCACACCAGAGAACTCTCCTCCTGAGAGGTGAGGTCCCATAGTACCAACTACTGGCCCCTCTGCATTCTTGGTCACCGCCCAATTCTGAGCCAATTCCTCCAACACTACTGGTGCCACTGGGCTCCCAGTATAGACCTGAGCAGGTACCTTGCAGCCTTCCCAGCCCCAGTCAGCCTGCCTCCCTGATTCAGTCTGACTTAAGGCTGGGCTGCCCTGCATTTAGCGAGCTTCATTTCTGGGGGTACAGGGACAAGGACAGGGAACATGAGGCCACAAACCAACGTAAACTTGGAGAATGAGGAAACCCACAGAAGGCAGGAGGATCTGAAGGCCCAGGCTTTGTGGGACTAGGCCCTAGCAGCCTGCCTACCCACCTTGACATAGATGATAGGGATGGTCAACTTGGCCTTGGTGAAATGGCGGGCCACCCGGTACACCGTCTCGGGCACATATTCCAGCACCAGATTTAGGTAAAGCTCATCTTTCTGCAGAGAGCAAAGGAGAGGTGTGAGGCATTGAGAGGAAAGGGTGAAGAAGGGGGGAGGGAAGGTTGTGGGGAATGGGGGAAGGACCAGCAGTCATGAGAAAGGCAGGAAAATGGGTGGAGTGAAGGTGGAGGACTTCTTCCCATCCCCAAGGTCTCACCTTCTCCCCACTGGAGTAGAAAAAGTATCTCAGCCTCACGATGTTGCAGTGGTCCAGCTTCCGCATAATCTGCAGCTCTCGGTTCTTGGGGGCAAAGGGAGAGCGCCTCAGAAAACCACCAGCTCTCTCTGCCTCCCCTCCCTAGTACCTCTCACCAAAGCCCTACTCCCCTATTCCTCCCAACAGAGCCAGGCAGCTACTCCCTGTGTCCCAGCTCCAAGAATCCCCTGGAGTAGCCTGATTCCTCACCCCAACCCATCCCCGTCACACAAAAGCTGGAGGTCCATGGGCTAAACCCAGACCACAGATGTGCTTTCTTCAGCCCATTTTAAAATGGTTGATTTATTGCTGACACTTGAAAATCAAACAACTTCATGTACAAATCCAGTGTCCTGGCTTCTCTTGAAAATTCAGGTGATGTAGCCACATGAGGCCAGCCTCCCAGCATGGCACAAGTGACAACAAATAAGTAGTGGCCATCCAGTTCACCCTGGTCTGCACTCCTCCCTACTGCTTCCCATGGAGGCATCTGGGCACTTAAACCTTGGCTTGGATCCTGAATCTCAGACTTCAGGCTTCCAATTCTCATCTTCCCAAAAGGGATTCAGCCTCAGCCTCTTCCCAGAAGGCCCACTGGTCTCAGCATTCTCCCCTATACTCTGTTTCTCTCTGGGGCCTCAGAACTTCCCGCCCTCAGATGTCTCTCACTTCTGGAACTCAACATTAATCAAATTCTGACTGCCACCCTGGAGCTCCTCCTGCCCAAGAGTCCTCACTGCCCAGACCCAGGGTGTGACCTGGCTCCCCAACCTAGGCTCAGCTCTTCTATGTCCAGATTAGCCTAGGCTCCAAAATGCCATCCTTCAAACACCAATTATCCCTTGACTTCCACTCTCCTGGGCCTCCACTAGCTCACAGGGAATGAGGAAAAGACACCCTTCCTCAGGGGGAGAGAGCCCCACATCAAGGCCTGTGGTTTGGTGAGCTCTGGGCAGGCTGGATTCCACCCTACACTTACCCGGGGCAGAGGAAGACCTTTGCTAAGACACTTATCAGGCCCAACAGCTTGCTTTCTCCTCTAAGCAGAAGCATAACTGAGATCTTGGGAATCAGATTCTAGTCTTGACCTAGCAATTCTGTTATATGAGTCTCAGTTTCCAATTTCTGCTTACTTAAAATGGGAACAACAATACTACCTACCTTCAGAGCGCCTTTATGTAAATTAAGTAAGAAACTGCCTGCAAAGCATTTACAAAGAGCAAAAGCCCAATAAACATCGGCTCTGGGCTCTCCTGGAATCCACATTCCCATTTTCCACACAACTCCCTTTTTTCTCCCTTCTCCTCTGGCCCATGCTCAGATCCCCTGTGGAACCCTAAAGCCAGCACTCTTGTTGGGGCTCTCTCACCAGTCATGCCCAGTCAAACCTCCATGTCCCCTCCGCACCACCCCTCCCTCACCCTGCCCCCAAGCTACCTTGAACCTCTTGTCCTGGAGAACCTTCTTGATGGCTACCAGTTCCCTGGTTTCTGCCAGCCGAGCCTGGTACACGACCCCAAATGAGCCATTGCCAATCACTTTGATGTCTGTATAAGCCACCTCCTGGGAGCGCTCCGGGCCTTGGCCTAGAGTGGCTACCACTGTGGTCACCTTGCCACTGTCACCTGGGGAACAAAGGGGACACAAACCCACTGACCTTTCCCCTTTTGCCACCACCCCATCCTGGGGCTATGGCAGGGAGGAGACTCTCTACAGGAAGCTCTCTGGGGCCTCTCCGTTCCTTTTTCCTTTCTCCTTCTCTCATATAGGAAGATCCTGACACCTAAACCTCTTGCTGACCACTCATCTACTTCTAATAAGCAGCAAACCACTAGGTCCTCTTGGTCTGAGGAGACACCAACACTCCCAGGTGTTGACTCCATCTACTATGAGCTTACTGCCTTCTGGCCCTTCCTGACTGAGGAAAGCCCAACCTAACCTCTTCCACTTAAGCGCAGTAACTCTGAGGTGCTTCTTTAGGAAAGCACTAACCTTCCTCACAGCTCAGGGGAGTGACCTCTACATCCTCCTGGTGGAGCTGGTAACTTTGCCACTGGTTTTTGGTGACAGGAATGAATGGCTCCTCTTGGCATGAGTGCTAGTGCCCTCTCACTTTTTGGGACTAGTTAGCCCTTGCACGGATACTTTGGGGTTAGAGAAGGCACTGACCTGACCTCACCTGTGTGGTCCAGAGCCCCAGACCCCTTCCAGTATGTGGATGGTCCTTAACCGACATGCACTAAATTGTGAAGCTGACCCAGCCTCGGTCCTTCAAAGGAAAATTATAATTCCTAGTTCCAGTGTCTGAATGGCAGCAAACTTTGGTGGCACTTTGGGGATAAAGACCACTTTTCTTCAGGGAACTGATGAAAGGTTCCCCCAAAGAAAAGGGTCACTAATGAATCAAATCTATTTTGACGGGTCAGTTAACACTTTCTTTTGGAGGTGATCCTGCATAGCTATTTTTCCCGAACTAATGACACCACACTTCAGAATGAAAGGGATATAACCTTGATCCATATTCTATGGGGAACTGTGACCTTTCCTTCCATTTTTGTGAAAGGAGACCCACCAAGCCATATTTTTATGAGAACAGTGACTATGACTTGGTCTGAAGTGTACGCTAACTCCCAGTCTCTTCTTACTTATAAGAAACAGCAATCATTAACTTCCACTTTTGGAAACTGTGTTTTAAAAGGGAAGATGACCTGGGTACCAGGTTTGGAAAGCCCTGGTCCTGTTCTTTGGGGAAACAGAAATCCCCTTCCTATAAAGGAGATCAAATTCAGAGCCCCTTTTTTGAGTAGTGGTGGTGGTGATTTTATGCTTGTTCTCTTTGGACACAATAACCTTTGAGGCCCATTTGTAAGCGATGATGACCCCTGATCCTACTCTCTGATGGATGGCAACGTCAGATTTCTGTTTTTAAGCCTCAAGGACCCAAGACCTTGGTACTGGAAAAACAAGAACCTATGACTCCTGTTTCTTTGAGGATTACTATATCTAATCCTAAATTCCAAGTGATGGTAACCCCCAAATCTTTCTCTGAGGAAAGGAGAGCTCAGATCCCAGTTTTGGGAGGCACAGTGACCTCGAGCTCCTATCCGGGCAAATAAAAGAACCTGATCAACGATTGAGGGGCTTCGGGAACCCTGATCTCCACCCACCACGGGCTCCCTAGTACTCACGGCCCAGCTTCACTCCGGGCGGCGGGAAGCTGGTGCCCGCGCTGGGGCCGCCGCTGCCTCCTCCGCCACTGCCACTGGGG